AAGGCTTTGCCTACTATGTGTAAATCATGAGAAGTACTTTCCGGTGATTTATCAACATTTTAAGCGATTATTCGGAAGATAAAATGTTTTGGAGGAATATTGTTCTCTGAGTTGGATGGTTTGGTCGTAAGGCTAGGAGGGATGTAAACAAGATTGATAATGTTATACAGATCTGTAAAATTTCATTCGCACATTCATAAACAGTGTTTGTTGTCGCTTTACTTTTAAACATGATTGAAATCCTAGTAGTTTTGTCATTTCAGCTTGATAATTGTGATCGAAACATTTTGTAGATGATCACCTAAAAAACACCGGTTTATGGTCTTGATCAGTGTAGATATCATCCAAATAAACGTATTTTGGGGACGGATGTCATCAAGTAACTTTTTATTGCTTTGTATCGGCAGGCCATGAGGCTTGGTTGTTGAACATTTCTATAGATTTACTTCTACAAACGAAACACTGGTGTTTGTTGCCAATATTTCCATCAAAACAACTTATTTTCATCAATTTTTTTCAGAAATAGAAAGAATAGGAAAAGTCGAATTTAGCGTCTTACCCTTTTACTAACTTCCACCTAGGCTTATTAGGTCAAGCGATATCACATTACGCTAATCCGAAAGCCAAAAACGAATCTGTACAGCTTGTATTCTTTAAGCATCTAATGTCAACAGATTGCGCAGTTAGTCGGATTAAAGTATCTGTTTGATCTACACAGCATCACACAAGCCTATCTTATCTGATGATACTTCAAATAATCTCACCATAACTTGTTCATCAGACTCTTCGATCCCACCGACGTAATCTAAAGGACAAAAATATTTTGTCAGTCATAAATACATTTATTGATTTGGGTCATGTAGAATAAGTATAGGATATCGCATCTACCTGTTCAGGTAGTCCGCTAGTCATGATTGAACCAACAGGCCGATATTTGCTGTGTTGTCAACAGCAGATTATATAGTTTTCCTGATATCTGGTTCTATTTACACTTCAGAATCCGTTAGCACGTGCTTGTAAGAATGCATTGCAAAATCCCTCCATGTATGTACTTACATTTTGTTCCTAATGATTCCTTTAGTTGTACATTTTGTTAGTCTTTTTGATTCCATTTGACGTGGTTGTATTTGTTTTTAGTATAGTTTTCATTTTTCTTACGCCTTCACCAAGTTTCCATGTTTCTTCCTGAACTGCGTTTACTTTGTTTTACTTAATATTTAGTCTTGGCAGCAGCCATGTTGTTTTGTTCCTCCTTTTGATCGTGTTGCTTTTATTGACTGGAATTGTATATTTTTGATTGTGAACTGAAGCGCTCTTCCAGAATTGGAAGCACTCCGTGTTGTAAACCAACCAAATATTGTCTTTTGAACGAATCCGGGAGTGTTCTACTGAGACAGGATAGTACAATATTTATTTGTCGCGATTGGTAATTTTCTCTCATCCTTTATCAACTTCCTTACTAGTTGTAATTTAGATTTGATTAATTGAACAATTCTTGGTTGAAGATATGTGTGGTCATATTTGTATAAGTAACAGTGTAAATTTGAACTTATAATGAATTTCAGTACCGTCATTTTACCCAGTCAATTTGTTTTGGATTCAACTGGGCTAAGGAGCGTATCTAACCCACCTGGACAGCTATTCTTCAGTCCGAACCTTTATTTGGATCTAATACTCCATACTCGTTTTTTCTTGTCGTCAGTTTCTTGTTCTACCACTACATTCATCATTCTTCCATTGCCGTCAGTACCTATGGACATTTTGCTTCTCTCTTGTTTTTTCGCGGTTATTACTACTATATTGTTCACAGTAGTTTATTGGTGACCGATTATTCGACCTTATAGCATTTCACTTGTCCGTCCAGCTTTTGTTTCATATGATATCTTTGAAATTTCTGATTAACTCACTAATAATTATTCACAAAATTCAAATAATTAAATCTTTGTTGCATTAGGAGGATAAGTCAATAAAGAACACAATATAATTACCAGTCCCAACAAATAAACGTATATACTAATGTGGAAGTGTTATTCCATTATTTCTAGATATATCAAAAACAGTTTATTCAAAAGATAATATTTAAATCGACGAAAATATCAGTAACAAAAGCATTGAGTGCTACTGATTAAGATGGTGAGTGCTCTTCATTTCGGTAATGTACTTCCATTCACTGTCAAAAAACGTCAACTTCCAGTCATTTCGAGCGACACCGTGATGACCCAAGACAATACGAAAGCCAGCATAGCCAAAATGTCAAGCAGAACGAAGATGATGCTAATTGGGGTCATTGGAATTCGGTAGAAACTACAATAAAAATGAACAGTGATTGTCCCACCTTGCATCAAAACATCAATAAGATTTACAGTTGAAGAGACTCAGTAGGATAAGTTAAAAATCTCCTCAGTGTAGGCACTTTTGTACTCTACCGCGCAACAATTTCTAAGTACCTTCAAACGCTCTGGTCAATAGGCAAACACTTCACCCAACCTTAATGTCGAAATCATTACGATTCTTAAACAGTGTATAGAAGCATACAAACACCTAGCTCCACACCAAAACAACAAGAAGAGCGAGACTAATCAATCAGATATAAGATAACAGGTCATGAATTTCGGTGTGAAATTCAATCACCTATTTGGCGTATTGTTGTTTCAGCTGATGTCGGTTCGCGATGAAAGTCCTGAATCTAATTCCCAACCCTAACCATCGATTGTAAGTCATTATTCTATGTCCTCACACTGGTTTGTAACCCTCATTTAGTCCTAGTTAGTAGGTGAACAATCACAAAGTCGCTCAAAGTTTATCCACAGAACTGATTAATAAAATAGTTGCATCTGACATACCCATTTTTCTTCCCTTCCAGAATTTAGAATTTCTGTTCACATCTCAAATAAGTTCGGAGACATAGAGTAAATAACTTGTCAAACGACTATCGGATTGTCCATCGCATCATCAACGAATGAAACTCTTCACCTTGACATATTACTAAAGGTCCATATCTTGACGAGTTTAAAACCAAGTACGTCAAACTTAGAGACCACGATTGCTAACTAACAGAGGTCATTCAAGCTCCTATCTTTTAAAAACTGAAAACAAAGGAGAATTTTTCCAGATGACGGTATCAACTGTGCTAGAATGTACCGGAAACATAGAAGCATCTTATGACATACAAGCATGAGAATGCAAAAAATGGTTGATTCACATCTATTCACGAAAACTCAAAAGTTCACATCCGAAGGTCCTTCATAAAATGCAATGGAAATGCAAGGAAAGCAAACGCACCGCTTGAAGAGCTGACACAAATACATTCTGACCCATATATTATCATCTCCGTTTCCCCCATTATACTTATTACCTCGACCTACCCACAGTTTGTATTGCCAATGATTTAACTTAGTTATTTGTTCTCAGGACAATCGTCTCTTGGCGCTTAAATTACCACTTTATTATCCCCACATTGCAACCAGTCAACCTGCTGCCTGATAATTTAACAGCTGCAGGTTTCAGGAAACCATACTGCACTGAGACAAGCGCACCAATTTAAATTACATGATATACAAATCCATAAATTGCTAGCAAACTGACCGGTGTAAATGCAATGGAGTGGCTGGACTATCACATCTTGGACTTTACTAAATATATGGGTCCGTACTGAAACATCAATAAGCAAGCGCACTAAAATCAATGTGTTCGTCGAAGATGTGACAAAGATATTGAACAAACACCACATGTCACTCAATGTCTCGTTGATATGGGGCTTCTAGTTGAATTATAATGTACTGACGACCTTGATTTTGTCAACCGGAATCAAGACAGCGCCTACAGTTTCTTTACGAAGTTTTGAATTAGGTAACAGATAACATATATGTAAGGATTAAGTAAAAGTTGTCAATATATGGTTCTTAAAATGCTTGAAACAAATAAAAATCTAGGTGAAAATATATTTTATTGGTGACTTTTGTGTGACGCCTAATAAACTTTGAGAATATCCACTTACTTAAATACGGGCTTCAAATTACTTTGAGGAACTGGGAATATAATTGACAGACGACCACTTAGCGACGCTGAAGTGACCTTACGAATGTTCACCTACTGACTAGTGCGAAATATATGTAGAAAAACCATTGTGAGGAATTAGAATTATGAATTACAGTTGATGTTTAAGGTTAGGAATTAGATTTAGGACTTTCATCACGAACCGACATCAACTGAAACAACAAAATGTCAAGGGGATGAATAAATTCCACACCAAAATCCATGACCTGTTATCTTATATCCGATTGATTCGTCCATACATTATAGTCTCGTCAAAATACTTTTTATGCAACCAAATAAGTAAAGTTTCGATAGTGCTTGAACTGAATATTATAAGATTCCTGCTTCAAAGGCAGCAACTAATGAACCCGATGTCATCCATTACGCATCCAAGAGTATTCAGTGAGGCTACTTAACCTTTACACCATCTTACTCTCACTTTAGATCCCAAACTTAAGTTTCGTAAGTTTACATACATCAAGGTCGGAAGGCATTGCACTTTAGCTGACTCAATTCTCACCTAAAACCATGGCCACGATTTGTAAATCCAACTCAAAACTCAAGTTTAAACCTTTATACCTTACCTTGATGTTTTTGCACAGTAAAATGTCAGTTGGTGATGAAAATTATGAGGTGACAACCCTAACTCCAAAACACTAGCTCGACTCCTTATATGTATATATATATATATATATATATATATATCCAAAACTTGCCCTTTTTTCCTAGCCGGAAAATATAGTTTGACTTTTGAGGGTTAATGACTGTAATCCACTGTCATTCCATAACTTTGTTCTGTTCATTGTTTTATTACTGACAGCTTTTTTCTGATTGGCCGCTAATTGGCTCAAGGTCGTTGGTGTTTAATAACTTACTGGGATTTATGTAAAGTAGTTTCCTCGGTTCGATCAAGTTTGAGAATCGATTACTTCCCTTCCGTGTCCTGGTTCGTTAACTTATATGTGTTAAAAGCTCTGGAATTCTTTTTGATGCTATTTTTGCTGCATACACACCTTAAGAGGTTGATATTTTAAGACAAGACTTAAGGCACATTGCAGTCGTAGATAGAGTGAAGAAAAGCTTTACCTATAGTTAGTTATATAGTAATACATTTTTATGCATTATGCCGTCTTTTTTATCAGTAAATAACTAGCCATACAAACGAAATATCCCCGAAATTCCCCAAAATTTCCCCAAACACTGGTGAAGGTCATTTGACTCCGAGAGTTTCCCCGAATACCCCAAACTTGGAAGCTCGGGTCGTATTCATACATACAAGTAGATATCATGCAAATAATTGCGTGATTACACGCTACAGGTATTATTACGCGGTAATTTTGTGTTTAAGCTTTTTTATTGTCTTCTAGCTGAAATACGTATCTAAATAAAACATCCTAGAATGCTTCTGCCGTGAAAGTGGACACTGACGAAATGAGGCTAGACTATAAGTTATGGACAAACCATAGGTTATAGGCTCACCCGAAATGCCGTTAAGTGAACCCAAACCCCTGTTTTTCAAAATTACCTAAGTTATTAGCCCTAAGGCTGAAGTAAGGTTTTGTCTCCAACAAAACGTCCAAAATTAAATTTTTCGCACATGGTTTCTTTCCTGTTAAGATACTTTTGAACGTGTAACCTGTGAGCGGTCTAGGAATTTGGAGTATTACTATAGTTCAGTTACTTAAGGTATCAGCGTATGCTTTCGTTACCACGTAAGGAAAATTTTTACTGGTTAACTATTTACAAAGTTGACTGTCTTGTCTGAAATTTGTTGGGCAGTTATTTCAAGTCGGCCTAAGTGTTATCTTCTAGTTTGTCCATAAGTGTTAGTAGGATGTCACGACAGGCTTTTATGCAATGGCACTACAATGACAGTCAACCTTCGGGACAAAAACTACCTTGGAATACATTTAATGACAAGATGCAACCAAACTACTGTCTAACTGAGGAATGTCGAAATATCAGTTTATGGTTTAGCGGCGATTATAGAATTTTTACAGATTTTATATTAGGGACTGATCCTAGCTAGACCACCTTTTGAGGCTATAAAGTACGAAACAATTGTTTAATCTTGGTATCGGACTCCTCAGCAGTGCACATCTACAATCGTTCAAAGGCAGTTAAACTCAGGATCGGCCTCGCACGCCGACTCATTGGTATAAAGGTTAAGTATTCGCAAGCGAGATAAAACTTCTTGGGTTCTAAATTCTCTGACATGGACTGCCGAGGGGTCTCACGCCAAGACAAAACGGCTGTGCAATACTTCCTGGTTTTCGGTAACGTCCTAACTAAAATCATTTCGTGATTTAAACCATGGAAATCGAGAAGTGTTGGTAATTATAAGCCTTAGTTAGGCCTGTTTTACTAATGCTTGAATCATGCATAAATGACACAAGCGTACTTTAGTAATTGGATTGGGGAAGTCATCCGACAACCTAATCAAATGATTTATTTGAAAGGTACTTAATAGATGCCACCATTTCATATATACTCAGCTGTACAGAACTTGTTCTGAGGTTGGTTACATATCTATTTATAAACTACCGCAACATATGTGTGATAAATAACATATGTACAATAAAGATCATTCTTCGCCTCTTTTGGAACTTATTTAGTTAAGTCAAATACACTAGTACATCACCGTAAATCATTTTTCATCTGGCTGGGGATGGAGTGGCTTTTTCAGTATCATGCACCCACCTGTTTCTGTTTAGGCACCCAGACAGTATTCCTGCCTTCGCACAGATCGAATGGCGAAGTGTGGCGCATATATATTTGATGCCTTCTTTTACCAATGCTTACGTGTTTAAATAAATAATATTTCGTTTGTTGGTAGGAATAAATCTAACCATCCTTTGGTAGAATTTATAATTACCTGTAATTCCCGACTTTCACTGTTTTTCATCCACATTCACAAAGTTTTGGTGTGTTTTTCAGACTTACATAATACTCCTTAAAGCTTAGTGTTTTCGTTTTGATTTTAAATTATTTTGATTGGTAAATGCTCTGTTTTATTGAACAGATTTATATTATGTTATAGGATGTCATCCAAAGTTCCTATACTTTCTGCCGGTGGTCCTTTGATATTTCGTCAATTATTTGAAAAGGTTTCATCTACATACACTTACTTACTGGCCGACTCACATACCAAAGATACTGTTATTATCGACCCTGTTTTAGAAACTGTTGAACGAGATAAAAAACTTGTAGGTTGGTGTAATTCTTAACTTTTCAGTAAAATAATAAATAGATTTTCGGGTAATCCTAACAACATCAAATTTCAGGAATCCTGACTTCTAAAAGTGGTTATGTGGTCATATTCTCCTCTTGTCATATAGGTGGTTAGGGGTATCTTAAATCTAAAACCACTTGAGTGGATTAAATTAGTGAATAAAACTGTGTTCACTGAATTACTTTTTGTTTGTCAGTCAGTCAGCTACAACGTAGGATCAGGCACATATATGCATCGGTTCAAAATGCCATACCTCATTAACACAACAAGATGAACGCCGAATTCATAAAAGTAGTTAATTCCGAGGTGGTAATATTTAAAAGAAAGATTGCAACAAGGATATAGCACAGGGAGAAAGAATTAGTTCGTAGAAAGAAAGATATGAAGCGATTTTTATCTCCTATTTTAAGGGAAGACAGAGTGTATACACCTACACCATTGTGATCGATTCTGAGCCATGTCACCAGGAGTCTCCAACCACTGGTTCCAATAGTCACGCGGACCCCAACCAAGTAGTCTGCATCTCCCAACATGGCTCAGACCAGAAGTTAGTGACTTCAAGCACTGATACCACGTTTTGGTTTGGCCGTCCCTAACCTTCTTCCAACCATCCCGAACACCGGTTAGCATTGCACGTCGTGGTAATCGGTGTTCAGGCATACGCAACACGTGGCCCAACCATCTCAGTCGATGAAGATTCACAACCTCATCAACTGATTTACCATCGTTCCCTAATACCCTGCGTCTAACCTCACTGATTACTTACCCGGTGATCCCATGCAGTCACCAGCAATATTTCTAAGGCATCTCTGCTCAAATACTAGTAGCTTACGAGTGTCTTCTACTCTTAATGGCCATGTTTCGCTGCCGTAAAGTAAGACAGAACGGACTGCCGCGCAGTACACTCGTTCTTTTATTGATAGACGTATATCTCGCCTTCGCCAAAGGTGACGTAAGTTGGCAAAAGCCAAGCGAGCTTTTCGAATCCGTGCTGAGATTTCGCCAGACACCAACCCATTAAGGCTGATCAGACTTCGCGTTCGACTACTTCACTCTCTATCCTTAGTTCAGGTGTTGACGCAGACCAGTCCTGAAGCAACAACTTGTATTTAGAGAGAAGCGCATTCCAAACATTCTGGCATTGTTGCTTAGTGCTACCAAAAGACTGAATTTTATCAGCGTCTTCACCAAACAGGACTATATCATCTGCGTATTCTGAGTCGATAAGTGGACCTCCTGGAACGAGATCAATACCCGAGAACTCAGTCGACGAGAAAGTTATTTCCATCAGTAGATCTATGGTGAAGTTAAACAAAAATGGAGAAAGTGGACAGCCTTGACGGACACCACTTGAGGTTGCAAAAGTAGGTGACAGTTCACCATAAGCCCTGACTCGACTGGTAGTGTTCGAGCAAAGAGCCTTCACAAGGTTTATGTACTTCTGAGGTACGCCTTTCAATGACAGACACTGCCACAGAATCTCGCGGCCTACCGAGTTAAATGCTGCTTTTAAGTCAAGAAAGACCACAATTGTCGGACGCCGATAAGTATGCCTATGTTCTAGAACCTGACGAATGGTGAATATGTGGTCGATATATGTATGGAAACAGAATGCCAACGAGCATAAGCATAAATGCGCTCATTTTCTCAGATAATCTTTTATTAGTTGAATGATATGAAAATAAGGCGTAGACAATGATGTACCGGTTCCAATGACCGTATTTTCATACAACATTCCAATGAAATCCTGTACAACACGATATACAGAGAAACTAAAGCTAGTGGATATGAGCAACTAGTACGTATAAAATGAATGATTAAACAGTGGACATGGTTATATAAAAGTGTATGTTTTTCGTCAAAACCATTACACTTCATTAAGAACTGCAAACAACGATAAAACTATGTTTTCAAAATAATGAAAAAACTGAAAATAAACAGTAAAGGGAACAAAACAATAAGATGCTCGCTAGTCGTAGTCAGATAGAGTGGATTTACCTGAATCATCATCTCCCGGACACTGCCTGAGGTCATGGTGCCACACAAGATTAACTTAATGATCTAATTACTTCATAGGTTGATGCCGTTTTTGATCCTATTACCCATTATCAGTACAACCAATATAGAATTTTCAGTTAACCAAGAACTGAAATATAATCCAATCATGCTCATTCGAGCTACCTATCTGAAATTTCTGCGTGGTCTTTTCAATCTAACACAAACATTGACCTAATGATTTTACAGTACTCCAGTTGTCGTTTGAGATCATTACTGACGAAATAGTTGTAACTTCCGCTTGTCAGATAAATTTTACATACTTTATGCTCATTAGCTGAAAGCAAACCAAAGTTATCTTCTCTTTTAAGGTTCACTTCATGACATTCTACTGTCCAGGTGATTGCGATCACTAATTACAGACATATCTGAGTTCAAATTTGCAACTGACGACTTTGTTCTAGCATTGTTTCTCCTTCTCGGTAAAATATCTAATTACCTAGGGCTTAAAACCCCATAATTTTATCTATTTAAACTCACAGATCCCCAGCCGTTCATCCAGATATTTTCAAATCTCATTCCCATCTAGCTATAATTCATTGGTCTAAGCATTATCCTTTCAATCACCAAGTTATAGATTCGGATACTACCCCAATCTCGGCACCTAACTTAAAATACATAAAAATTGCCTGAAAATAATTCTCACTGCCTAAGACCCATTATATCATCCAAGCACTTCGGTGACTATTTTACGTATACGGAACAATAATTTGCCCAATCTTTTCAAAAATCCTCATCAGCAAGACAAAAACAAACAGTTACTATAAATAATCATACACATTTTCTTCATATTCTTATAAACTTAGTGTTATTTAATTCATCAAGCTTAGTGCTGAGATATTTACAGTCAATTATCCAATCTCTAAAAAATGCAAAACAAATTCCTATTATATAATGCTTATCTCTCCCACAGTTACCGGAAATTTATTTATTTATTTAAACACAAATATTGGTACAAAGGGGCACCGAATAAATATGCACCACACAAATCACTTGATTTGTGTATGGGTTGTGATACTACCCGGGTGCCCAGACCGAAGCAGGTGGTATTCTTAGCGGGCCATACCTGGAGCCGTTCACCTAAAGTTTGATCCATGAGGCAGTGAAGCAACGTCAGGAGATGCAGTCTCACGGTAACCAATGATTGGTTAATACACCATTTGTTCCTTCAGGATACTGGAGCCCATGTGCACCATTGGTTTGGAATCAGGGTTTTCCAACTCCTCTAGGTGAATCCTCCATGTCTATCAACCTGGTTAAGGCTCCGGACATTCGCTGTTCGTCCTCTCAATTTCGTAAACAACACCCTCGCCTCGTGAAGGCAGCGATTAGGACTTCCCTGACAGTGGCCGTATACGCGTGAGAGCATTTGGAGAGAAACAGATAACTCTCCCCACCCTCGGCCGTACCAGGGCACTACTAAGCAACCATCTTAGGTTTTTAGTGTTTATTTATAGTAGAATAATCGCAACTGTTACTGTAGCAAATTTTTCATCTATTTCTATTGATATATTGTAATTTAGATATCTCAGTTGAATCTTAAATTGGGTCCGATAATAAATACTCATTTGCATGCTGATCACGTAACTGGGAGTGGGTTGTTAAAGCGAATTCCTGGATCTTTCAGTGTGTTGTCGCACTATGATGGAGTCAAAGTTGACAAGATAATAAAACATGGAGATGTTATTAAGTTTGGAAATTTCGAATTAGAATGTCGAAGTACTCCAGGTAGGCTCGTATTAAAGTCACCTTTAATTTTATTTGAAAAACATGTGACTGTGTAGTTGATCATTTTTCAACTTTCTAAGGTTAAATGAAGCAAATATACAGAATTCACTTTTATTTTCAGTTCATCGTTTTCTAAAAATCTATAATGTATTGCATTATTCGTAATTGTAATAGAACTGAACGACATTTTTATTACGTAGCTCTTTAAACTTATATGTTGACTTCACTGTTATTATCATTATCAATGCCTTATATTAACTTCATAGGGCATACATCAGGTTGTATGACGCTAGTATTGCATTCCGCTGGTGTTGCTTTCACTGGTGACACACTTTTAATTCGTGGTTGTGGAAGAACAGATTTTCAAGGAGGCTCAGCTGAGACATTATATGATTCAGTCTATTCACAAATCTTTAGTCTTCCAAATGATTATACATTGTTTCCTGCTCATGATTATTTAGGCAACACTATGACTACTGTTGGTGAGGAAAAGGCATTTAATCCTCGGTAAGTTTATATATATATATATATATATATATATATATATATATATATATATATATATACTAAATCTGAAACTTGTATATATTGAATTTTCAGCGTACACGCACACTAATCGTTCCGCAGATATTAACACATTCTAAATATCTATGATATGTTTCAAACTAATCTTGTTTTAATTTTTAGGTGTATGCGGCTGAGTTTCTCTCTAGACTAAACGAAGTTCTCATTGCGATAGTCAATGGTAGACAAATTCCCAATTTATATTTTCTTCAATTGCGTTTACCAGTTTACATGTGCATGTCAAATAATCTACATCAGAAGAATAGAAAGTAGGGTCAGTATCCGCACGTATGAACACATTCCACCAAATTTGCGACCAAGAACAGGAATTTTTCGACAGTGCAGTTGCTTGACATTTGTTTAACATTGAACATGATGTTGATGCTTAAAAGTCCTTAGGAAATATCAATGTGCACGAAAATTAAAATTTATTGCGTTTTGCTGGAGCCACTGTAATAAAAAGATTGAAATCGAATTTTTGTATCCATAACGATACAGTTCTCAATTTTGTTTTGCCTTGGTGACCTCGTTTACATGAAGTTACTGTGCGAGATTTTTCCCCATGACCCTAATCACAATTTCCACTATCTTATTCCTTATTATGAGCTTTATTTACCTAGTTTATATTGGTTAAAGTGTTACTTAATTTGTGGCATTAATCTACGATCTCGCGGAAAAATTCTGTTTCCCTGTCCCCAGTTTTCTCTTCTAGAATATTTATATATTTGACCTATAAGTAAGCAAACGCCTGAACAATAGTTGATTCTTCCACAATTATCATCACTGATTATTCTATATCTCCAACTCAAGGTTATTCAAAACTTATGAAGAATGGATACCTGAGTCTTTTTTAAGGATTAGTGCCGGGTTTTATCCAGATAATTAGAAACTGTGAAATATAATGAATTCATATTGTTCTATTACATTCTCTGTTCTTTCTTACTCAAACTTACAAATAGATAAGAAACCGCATGAAAGAATATATCCCCTGAATAATCCACATTATGTTGTGATCTGTTACACATTGAAGTACTCATCTCATTGCATTAATTTTACACAAACCTCTAGTTCTGGCCTGATATTATCGAAACCTAGTTCTGCTATGCAAAACCTTGCTTACACGAGCACAGTGTGGCAGACCCGTGTTCTCAATTCCTCTCAGTAGTGAAGGCAGTATCGCGCGATTTAAATGGGTGATTTATACCTGGTATGTCTACTAGTGATGTTTTCTAATCTTCCACAATACCGAATTGCAACACGGCTCAAGAATAAAAGTATTGCTATGCATTAGGGAGGTCAGTGGTCAACGAACTCCCTACGTTGGCCTCTTAAGACAGCTCTTCCTATCTAAGCTTGATTGGCGTTGGTACTACGACAACGAAGACGAGATGGCGGGCTTTCTTCACCACTTCAGTGCTGTATAACACGGCTATGTCCACCGGCTACGGTTGCCGACTTTATAAAGATAGAATATATAAATAGGCTGGAAAATCCTAAGACACAAAGTAATATGATATTTAAAAAATATATGATGTTATGACAAAAAGCAGACTCACAGTTTATCGTTTGGCATACTAGATCACATTGACCACACTATGGATATTCCGGGTTTGATAATGCTTTTGTTCGTAGCATCCTTTTGATTGAATGTTCCCAAAGAAATGAAGGGGGTTCAAAGATATATTTGAAAGGTTGTCAATATATGGAGAAGCGTCTGACTTAAGCTAGTTACTTGCTGCGAGAGATGCGTAGGACGGCCTACCTAATTGGAATCTGATGCGGATGCATGACTAATCACCTTCAATTAAAATGTGTCCGGTTAAACTAATGAGTTCAGTATTATTGTCGAAAACTTAAAAACTATCTATTTGGGGATCTACTTACTACTACTATAGAAATTTACTGCCTTGTTTTAAAATTTATTCAACCTATCATGTACACGTTCTATACTTTATAAAGATCTATGTTAATCTAATTTAACATTTAAAATGTATTCATTTCTTACTAATGGTCAACTTAAATATCCGCTTTGATCTAACATACATCAATGTTCTTTAGATCATCCAATAATAATGATTCAATTCAATTAATTTCAGTTTAAAATTTCAAAACTGTTCTATTCCACTCTCTTGTTCATATTGATATTCATTTTAATTTTTTAGATTAACTAAAACCAAAATTGAATTTGTTAAAATTATGAATGAATTAAATCTTCCGTTACCTAAACAAATGGAACGTGCTATTCCATTGAATCTAAAATGTGGTATCAATGATGAATAATGTCAAATGATTCTGAAGTAATATATATTCATTTGTTTATTTGTTTATTTATTTCTCTCAGTCAGTTTACTTAACTTTGTTCAAAAAATGTCCATTTTTTTAAATTAAAAAATCAGATTACTTTATCCGTAACTTTGTGAAATACTCATTTCCAAAAAGGAAACATCTCCATATAAGTGACTTACATCTATTATCAACATCCTATTTCTATTCATTAAGAGTGATACTTAAGTTTTGTTTACAATACCATTTCTATTATATAAAATTGTCTTCCATTGTTTTTTATTAGATATTAATTTAAGCCTAAATTTCAATGGTTTAGTTTTCAATTGATCAAAATTCAATAATCTATTTTGTGCACTAAATATTTAACCATTAATATTGATTTAATGCGTTGTTGTTGTTGTTTTTCATTATTTTTCCTTATATCTCTTCTTATCTGTCAATATAATTGATTAAATCATTATGATTTGTAATATTGATTAATTTTTATTTATGTGTGATAATAATCATCTGCTCACTAGTGACTGACTTCAAAAGATACTCCTGGAGTTCTAGCGAGAAGCCGTTACTAGTGGAGTTCAACCAGGTTTGTTGTCAGATATCAACCCACTGAAGACAATGGTATACGGTGGCGCAACTTCGTGGATTGGTTGAAGTTAGACATTAACACCATTGGATGCCGGCTCAGTGGTCTAGTTGGTTAAGCAAGACTGGCGTGAGACTGATAGGTCCTGGGTTCGACTCTCGCGGGGTGTGGGATCGTGGGTGCGCACTGCTGAGGAGTCCCACAATAGGACGAAACGGCCGTCCAGTACTTCCAGGTTTTCTATGATGGTCTATCTTCAATTGACTCATGATTTCAATCAGTGAAATTTCTAAAATCTCCACAAACCCCTTCTGATAAATACGCATTAATCAAGGTTTAATTTTCTAGGAGAAATCAAAGTAAAATTTATTTGTTAAACATTATCTGATAAATTGATTGATTCAATATGATAGGATGACAATAACGATTAAAAGCTCTGTTGTGTGCTGTGGTCTGATTTAGTTACATTTCCTAAAGTTGACTAGACCCATTACACAAATGGCTCTCGAATGGCCTGGTACAACCGAGAGTGGGGAGAGTTAGCTCTCCCTCTCCAAATGCTCTTATATGGCCACGTGCATAAAACCACTGCCAGGGAAGTCCTACTCACTGCCTTCACGAGGCGAGGGTGTTGTTTACGAAATTGAGAGGACGAAAAGCGAATCTCCAGAGCTTTAATCAGGTTGATAGATATGGAGGATTCACCTAGAGGAGTTGGAAAACCCTCACTCTAAACCAATGGTGCACATGGGCTTCAGGATCCTGAAGGAACAAATGGCGTATGAACCAATCGCTGTTCATCGGCTCCCATGGGACTGCATATGTTGACGTCGCTCCACTGCCTTATGGATCAGACCTTAGGTCAAAGGCTCCAGGTGTGGCGCCCTAAGAAAACCACCTGCTTCTGTTTGGGCACCCGGGCAGTATCCCAGCTTTCACACAAATCGAATGATTTATGTGGTGCATATCTATTTGGTGCCTCCTTGTACCAATGGTTATGTGTTTAAATAAATAAAATTACATTGACCGGGTGCATGATCATCTACTTTCAATAGCGTATCTCATCTATTGTTACGTCTTGAGACGACTCATCAATTGTCCGGCTTCTGTAAAGCCATGTGATGTATCAAGACTCCTCCAACAAATTAAGCTCGTGAACCGCTCCATGTGATTCGATACGGGAGGAGAATAAGTTATCATCATTAATTCTTACGCAAAATTTGTAGCTCAAAGCTGAATGTACAAACATTTTTTCTTAGTTATTGAGATGAATAAGCTTTAACGTTGTAGTGCAATTCAACCAGTAAGTTGCAGATCAATGCCTTCCCTTACTTCCAATGGTTTGGGGACCCGTTTAGTATTACTGGGCCTCATACATAAAATTTGACAATATATCCATAAAAAGTAAGTATAAGGAAGCAACGGATAAGTGAGTTACACTTAATTATTTAGTTACTACCATCTTAATGTCCTCATAAATGTATTGAACCACTCAATATTATGACGACCTTTGAGCAAAAACTTAGTTTAAATAAGTGTGTAAAAGTCTCTCTATGGTAATTGGCCCTAGAAAACAAATTAACGAAACAACTCAATTTCAGACAGAATTTATGCATATATGACTGTGATCAATATTATACATTAAGGTAAACGAGTCGATTGTTTTTTTTATGCCAGTCGGTAATTAAAATTAGGGGCATTTGAAAAGGGTGACATCAAAATGACTGGTTCTCTCTCCTTACCCTTAAAGATAAATTTTTAGGGTCCAGTTATAAATATTTAAAAAAAAACAGTGGTTGGTATCGATGCCGATATATGTGATCATATAATCTAGGCACACTTTTTTCCTACAGATACATTAAGACATGACATTCAGAGAAATTAATTATCTCCTCGTGTAACCAGTTTCGAGATTGGGTTTAATTTAATTATACGTGGTCATTAGAGCTCAATGTTATTGAAAAGTAATCACTGCACAAATTGTTGGCTTTCATATCCTTAAAACAACAGTCATCGAGTATGCCATTTTTCAAATTCTCGATATTATTGAGGGACAGGCTTTGAGGACTGCAAAATGGGAAGGAAGGTATGGAGAGTTGTTCATCATTATGATGACAGTTAAAAATAACAAATTCAAGCCACGGTTATTTTAATGTTATTTGTATGGTGCATGACTTCATGTTAAATGTTTTTTCTGGTTTTCGGTATAATGCAAGAGATTTGTAGCTTAGAATGAGGATTTAAGTCAAGTTGTACTGTTATAACCCAGTGAAGATTAAGTTACAGGTAACTTCCGAGAACTGTTAATAGACTAATATTCTATAAATATTCTTATTGTATAATTATTCAATAATTACATTATGTGTGTTTATATTCCCCTTATTATAAGCTTTATTTTGACCTATAATTTATTACTATACGATTTACGGTTCTTAATCTATGTTCAGTCTATTAATTACTATCTCCCGCGTTCACAGCTACTTTTTGGCTTATTTGTGTACACATGTTATTTTCTATTTTATGGTACATTGTGGTCTGTCTGATTGGTATATAAACAGAGTATGTTTGAAATACATAATTCATATTGTGGAAGCTGGTATTGTTTTTTTTGGACTCAAGCAGATGGGCTAGAAGGACCTCGGACCAACGAGGCGCTAGACTGCCCACACCGGTTGAACGTCATTGGTTGGTATAGAGTGAAGATTTGTATAAGTCGTATTCTGATTGGTGGATAATTCGCGTGGTAGAAAGGCCAGACATCAAGGTCATAAGATGTACTTTGTAAGCTGGATGGTGTAATCGTGATGCGTTCATTTTTAGAGAAGATCGATATTCTGAGGAAGCCAAGTTATTCTCATGGAAATAGTATACATCCTTCTACGTAGCTGTCTTGTTAGCTGACTGTGAATATTCAGCAACGTCATATAGTGAAATTCTTAAATGTATTCATCAATAGTTCAATGGCAACATTCGAATCGTTCCAATCTTGTCAACCGCAACTACTAATAATATATGCATTTTGGTCAGTAAAATTAAAACATTATATATAATATATATATCGTCCTATCACTAAGTGAATAGTTAGTACGTGTAAACGATAATAAAAGTGTATTTTCAAATATAAATTTGATCACTTATTCCTTATTTATCTTGGTCGAGGTTATCTACAGTTTACAATAAGTGTTTAATGTTTAGCATTTATTGGATAAGTGTAATTCTTATTAATGGTTTCATTTCAAATATATAACTCACTATAGTTTTTGTTTATTATCCACCATGTTAAGCTATACTTAAATGATGTGTTTACATAACACAATAATTGGATTATTCGAAATGAAACCTCTAGTGTAAATTACATTAATGTGTTACACTCACCTACCAGATGAACGGTAAGATAATCGATACAGCACGTTTATCGAATATTAAAAAAAGGGTGATGATAATCCCACTTGTGATGTTCGCTAGATTTTAAAATAAAACATATCTGAAAATGAAAAGTTATAACATTTATTATATGAGATAATTATTCAATTGATGATATAAGGCTTATGAGAAATTGTTATAACTTGTGCCCTATTAATATATAACGTGGTGATACCGCCAATGAGACAACACTGGCTTATTGACCAGACCAATGACGTATGGACCCGTACGAGCATTTTAGAGTCTTTATCGGTCTTCCTTCCTGTTTAGCCTTGCCTGTTAAGTTCAGAACATCAATCTCAGCCTCCGCGGCATGAATCATGTATTTCAAACATATCGGGTTTATATACAAACCGAATAGACATCACACTACAAAATAGAAAACAACATTTGTACAAGATCTAGCCAAAAGTGGCTGTGATTGTGGGAAAATGTAATTATTAATAGACTAGGCATAACTCGAGAACGGTAAATCGTATAGTAATAGACTATAGGTCAAAAGAAGCTTACAATGAGAGGAACATGAATATGCATAGCTTAGTGTTATGACCTTGATCTGTCTACTCTAGATTAAGACCTTGACGCAATATGCTGGCCGGTTTAACCTTGAGGCTAGTACGCGTGAGTTCGAGAGAGAAGAGAACTATTCTAGTACCTGATTGGCTGGCAAGCACGCGCATGAGAGAAGACAAGACAGTTGGAACACTATTGGCTGTATTGCGATATCCTGATTTCCTTTGAAATCTCTGAACTCCCTGAATTCAGATCAGTGCAAAAAGGTACATGAATAAATAGGTGATTTACCTGGCCACAACGTACAATAATTTGGAAAAATACAATTACATACACATAGTTCCCTTTATTATTTTAAAGAGAGCAAGAACAAAGGTTAGTGCAGAATAATATGAATTCATTTTATTTCGTTAGGTTCTCATCAGCTGCTTACAACCTAAAATATTTGAAATTCAAAGTTATTATAGATATTGACATACTTATACAACAGAGGGCGATGAAGGATGAATATATGTAACATAATGTAGCAAAGATTTCGTTAGAGTTAATGAGGTCATAAAATTTTGTTTCGAATATTTAGAGTTTGGGAGGGAAAGTTCCAAAAAATTGAGATAGTGATTAGAAATCATGGAATTAAAACACATTAGACGATTATATAATGAAGTAACTGAAAATAGATTAATGTTAATAAAGAGAGATATGAATTGAAATT